ATGAAAGATGTCTTAGTCAGGGTTTCTATTGCTGTGATGAAACACCATGAACAAAAAGAAAGTTTGTTTGGCTTACACTTCCACATCCTGTCAGGACAGGAACTCAAACAGAGCAGAGACGAAGAATCAGGAGCTGATGCAGAGGCCATTAAGGGATGCTACTTACTGGCTTGCTCCTCAGTCTGCTGTGTTACAGCACCCAGAACCACCAGCCCAGAGATGGCCCCACCCATAATTGGCTGGGCCCTCCCACATCAGTCACTAATTAAGAAAATGCCCCACAGCCAGACCTTACGGAGGCATTTTCTCTTTTGAGGTTCCCTCCTTTCAGATAACTCCAGCTTGTGTCAAGTTGACAATCCGTCACAAATGACGAGTCCTTTTGACCTCTTTTGGTCTTATCCACATAACCTGGCCTGTGCTGAGGACACAGCTCATATGTGTCGGTCTGAGTCCACTGCTGAGGACACATGGCTGCCACACATGCTGTCCCACTCTGCCCCTTGTTCACTTCCTCTCTGCACCCTTCCAGCTTCTACCCATCTTACAACGGCTACTTCAAGTTCCTTTCCCTTCCAGGAATATTTCTTTCCCTACTGAACACATCATATGCATTGACCAAGCTATTCCTCCTTTACCAAGACTGTCAAGTGAATGACCAGAAAATACTAGTTATCTTTTTATAAAGTGGCAGGCAAATAGTAACAGTGGTGGTCTCTGGCATCAGCATGCATTTCCACACTATAGCCTCAAGAAGAATCATAAGAGTTTAATATAATAAGTAGCATCTTTGCTATTAAGGGTGAAGTCTGCTGAAACTGTGTTTCCTAGAAATGACAGAGGAGCTACATTCATGTTCCAACATGGCTGCCTAAATGAGACCTGAAGAAGGATGACCTCAATAGCTGTGCTAATACTCCTTCCTTTGATGATGAACAGCAGAATGGAGGTGTACGCCAAATAAACTCTTTCCTCTCCATCGCTCTTCTTAGTCATGGTGTTTCCACGCAGCAATAGAAACCATAACTGAGACATCTTTTAAGGGGGATTTCAAATGTAATGTCTGGCATGGAAGAAGCCACGAAATCTGAGGCACATGGGCTGAGGTAACTGGAAATGAGAAGGATGTCCTGGGTGCCAAGTCTACTCAATCAGTGAGGGGCCGCTTGCTTATTCTGCGACACGCAGGTACATTTGGACACCTTTGTCTTCTCATCTGTGAGAACAATGCTATCTGGTAATTTTAGAGCATGGGGTTCCCTAGATTACACATCCCAAGACTCAGCCAAGTGGCTAAAGAACTAATTTGAAAGAAGATAAAAAATGACACCTCTAAAATAGACCCCATTACACAATTCAGGTTGTTTTGTTCTAAGAATTAGAAGCCATGATCTATGGTTTGAGGATAACTCAGGGAACAATTTAAGTCTAACAGCTTCCAATAAATTTACAACAGCCTTTCCCCATTTCAACTCTCCGATTTTTAGTCTATAAACTTGCTTCTGTTTCTAAAGAAATTCAGCCTAAATTCCTTGAGGGTCTGACCCTTTCTGAGTCTTAGTTTATGTTCTTTTGTTCTTGTACTTGACATTATCTCAAATAGTCTTGTAAAGTCTTGCTTCTGTTCCCTTCAGAATTTTATATCCCTCAATGAGGCATTTCCCTCCCTCTTCATCCAGAAAAATAGCTGCATTGCTTTGGTAACTTTTCTTTTATTAATATAGATAAAGCCTTCATGTTTTTAAAATGAAACAGGTCACCTTCTCTTGTAGCTCTGTTGTGAACAAAATAAGCTAAAGCAAAGTTATTTGAGCAAAGGGAACATTTGACTGGGCTGGCTTAGCCCTGAGAACAGTGACTGGAATCTTCATAGGATAGCCTCTGAAAGAGAACCTGATGGTGTGGTCTTGGGGAGAATCAGGGATCTTGATAGGTACAAAGGTGGCCTATTCAACAAGTGGGAAGTTATGCTAGCTACTGGAAACCTAGGCAACTACCCATTGCTAGTGAGGTCATGGAGGTTGGAGGAGAACCTACAACCACCTTACTATACTAGCATAATCCCTGAGTTCTAAATATTTGTTCTTGTAACCACATATTAGTGTAGTTCTCATCTTTCATTAAAGAAACTTCTCTTTGCCACAAATGGGGACCAATACAGGAAACCACACTAATTAAAATGCAGAGAACAAGTGATCATGTGGTGTTCCACCTCAACTGATAGACCTACAATATGACTCCTGTATCAAAGACCATTTCAAAAGAGGGGTGTACTGTGACATATTTGTACACTGTGTGAAGATACATTGCTGTGATTGGTTTAATAAAGATCTGAATGGCCAATAGGCAGGTAGGAGGTATAGGCTGGACTTCTGGGCAGAGAGAGGAAGTAGGAGGAGATAATGGAGGCTTAGAGGAGATGCCAATGAGATACGGAGGGAGTTGGACATACAGATTGAAAGAAAGGTGAAAAGCCACATGGTAAAATGTAGATTTAAAGAAATGGGTTGATTTAAGTAAAAAGAGCTAGTTAGGAGTAAGCCTAAGCTAAGGCTGAGCTTTCATAATTAATAAGAAGTCTCTGTGCCCTCACTTGGTGACTGGCTGTTAGGATAGAAAAAGACTTGTTACAGGTCGGAAAAGATTATCAGAGTCAGAGGGATGAGAAATATGCCGTGAGATTGTGTTTCCCAGAAATAACAGACAAGCTACACCCACAATTCAGCATGACTGCCTGATCAAGATCTGAAGAAGGATGACACCAATAGTTGTGCTAACATGATGTTGGGAAATCTCACAGGGTCTCAACCCCAGACAAAGAAATACAGGAACTTAGGAATGGTAAGGGTGGGTAATCATCTCCAGGGAGGAGCACAAAGAGTGGTTATCCAATAACAATTGGTCAACCTTGAAAACATTTACATACAAGTAGCACTACACGGGTGGAGCGGGTTGTGTTTATATATTCCAGAACACGTGTGTGTGTGTGTGTGTGTGTGTGTGTTTGTGTGTGTGTGTGTGTACACAAAGTAAAAGAGAGCATGAATTTGAGTGCAAAGGGATACATGGGAGGGATTGGAGGGAGGGAAGACAGGGAAGGGTGAAAGAGATGCAGTTATAATTTACTTCAAAAACGTATTCTAAAAGGGGCCAGTGGGACAGGATGCGCTGTGTGACTGCTCTCCGAGGGCTTCTGTGCGGTATTACTGCTCTCTGACGCCATTCAAGCATGACTGCGCCGTGAGTCATCATCATTCTGTCTTTTCCTCGTTTGGCACTTGCTCACAGTCTCAGATGAAACAGGTATTGTTTCTGGTAGATGAGATGCTTGGAGCTTTTGGAAGTAGCAGCCGTCCATTAAGAAGTGTTTAAACACGGAATCTGCATGGATCAGGGCTAGGGCCTCTGCATATATGTGTGACTGGCAGCTTGGTGTTCTTGGATGCCAAACAGGAGGAGTGTGTATGTGTGTGGTTCTCTGATGCTTTTGCCTGCTCTTGGGATCCTTCCTCCTACTGACTTTGCCTCGTCCAGCCTTGATACGAGGGTTTGTTCTGGTCTTATTGTAACTTTTTATGCCATCTTTGGTTGATAATCCTGCTCTTTTCTGAAGTCAAATGGAGGAGGGATGACTCTGGGGAGAGATAAAGAGGGGGGGTGCAGCTGGGAGGAGTGGGGGAGGGGAAACTGTGGTCAAGATGTAATGTATGAGAGAAGAAACAAAAGTGTTTACGTAGTTTCTCACCCTTCCAAATGCTGCGACCCTTTGATACAATTCTTCATGTGGCAACCCCGAGTCATAAAATTACTTTAGTTGCTAATTCATAACTGTGATTTTGCCACTGTTGTGAACTATAATGTAAATATTATTAGAGATAGAGGTTTGCAAAGGGGTCACAACCCATTAGGCGGGGAACTGTTGGTTAGAGGGTCTTACCAGCAGAGGAACCAAATACTCCAAGAAGCAGCTCTTGCCTGTAGCAGTTTATGGTCTGGTGAAGAAGGCAGACAGACCACCATGATAGGCAGTCACGGTAGAGGACCAGCGATCCTCAAGGCCCTGAGGAAGAAGGCTGCCATATGCCCTGTTCTGTGGATGTGTCATGAGAGGCAGAGCAGAAAGCTACCTGATTCAGCCAGAGCCAGCACGCTTGGGAGGCAGGTAATGTTACAGTGGGAAGGAAGGGCAAGCGACCGCATTAGTTTCCAGTTTCTGCTTACCACATCGGTGTAAATCTAGTGGCTTAAATGTCACCTTCATTTCTGGATAACCAGAGTCGGTATGTGGAGTTGTGACAGGAGCTGATGAGAGAATCTGCCTCCTTACATCTTCTAGAAGTCCCCCGCGTGCCCTGGCTCCTGGCTCCTTCCTCTGTTTTCTTCTGGGAAAAGGGCTACATTTCCCCTACTACATGTTCTCCTCCGATGTTTCTGTTTCTTATCTCCTTAACGGGGACCCTTGATTCCAGCGCCCCCCCCCCCATGCGTGATTTCCCATGCCAAACTTCTGAGCTTTGCATGTACATCATTCCTTTTGTAGGTAAAGAGCCCTACAAGTTTTGGAGATTAAAGTGCAGACACGTGGGTGGGAGGCATTGCTCTGTGTCCCACAGTGAAGCAGAGGGCATCTGAGTAGGGGAAGAATCCCGATCTGAAGTTATCTGAATGCACTTTATCAGAGGAACAGTTCAAACGGAAACCGTTTTCCTTCCTATACATTAATCTGGATCTTGTGTTACACCTGAGAAACCTCATTAGTGGCCCCGTTCCAGTGAAGAAAAGAGCCCCAGTGTGACAGTTCCTGGTAAAGAGAAATACAAATTAGGCAGTGTTACTTCCCGTAACAAAGTTGCATGGAATTGTGCTCTGTGAAGTCCCGTGCTTCAGACAGCTCAGCCGGAATCAGCTTCATAGAAACGCTGCTGCTGCTGCTGCTGCTGGACTCACACACTCTGCTTGGGAACCCGCCTCAATTAATATCTCTCTCCCTCTCTCTTCAGATTTTCAGTTCAGAGTAATGTCAAGATACGTCTTGCCACCACTGTTCCCAGAACAGAGGCCAAACCGAGGAACCTCAGGCTACCCCTGAGTCATCACCGGCATACCCAACCGGTAAGCAGGGCATTTGGGGTTCTGCTGAGTCCTGTGCAGTGGTGGATCCTGCTGAAGGAAGGGTAGTGGGTGCTTGCTGTGTTGGGTGGGGCATAGATAAAGACTAGCCCTGACCCGTTGTACTCTGTTCTTGGTTAGCAGCAGTGGGCATAACTTTCTGTTGTTTTTTTTTTGACAGTAATAACTATTTTGTTTAAAATAGTTCTGATCATGGTTCACCCCCATCTATCCCCTAGATCCTCTCCACCTCCCCACACATCCAACTCCATGCCTTCTCTCTCTCTTTGGAAAACAAACAGGCAAATAAAAAAGCAAACAAGCCTGGAAAAAAATCTGTGAAAAAGCACAAGAAACACATGTATACACATACCTGGTGTGGGTAAAACAAAATACAACAAAACAAAAAACCCAAAACATAAAATCAGAAAACATAATATATATGCAAAGACAGTAAGATGAAAGTGTGCAAACAAAGCCATATGAGTAAAAAAATAATACAAAACTCCATTGAGCTAGTTTTGTGTTGGCCTTCTACTGCTGGGCATGCGGCCAGTCCTTAAGTATAGTTTATATGGTATAAATTTCTTTTTTCCCCTTTTCTTTTATTACATTGTTTTTCCTTTCCCAATTAGTGCTGCCTCACGCTTAAAGAAAACTAACTCCTCCTCTCCCAGCAGCTATCAATTATGAATGACTCTTCAGTGAGAGCTGTGACTTCATTACTGCCTCGTTGCTCCATGGTAGGATTTTTTTCTTCCTTTTTTAAAATTTAAGTTAGAAACAAACTTGCTTCACATGTCAATCCCAGCTCCCTCTCTCTCCCTTCCTCCCCCATCCCCCCAGGCCTCCCAGTCCCCCACCCAACCCCTACTCTGATCCCCAGGGAGGGTGAGGCCCTCCATGGGGGATCTCCAGAGTCTGTCATTTCATCCAGGGCAGGGCCTAAGCCCTCCTCCAAGAGTCCAGGGTGAGAGAGCATCCCTCAATGTGGGATGGGCAGCCAAAGTCCATTTGTATGTCAGGGATAAATACTACACAAGGCCCCATAGATTGCTAGGCCTCCTCACTGACACCCACATTCAGAGCTCTTGATCAGTGTCATGCTGGCCTCCCAGCCATGAGTCTGGGGTCCAAGAGCTCCTGCTTGTTCAGGTCAACTGTTTCTGTGGGTTAAACCAGCCCAGTCTTGACCCCTTTGCTCATCAGTTCTCCCTTTCTGCTACTGGGTTTCAGGAATTCAGTTTAGTGTTTAGCTGTGGGTGTTTGCCTCTGCTTCCATCAGTCACTGAATGAAGGTTCTGTTTCTCAGACTCTCTAGCAGTGTGATTGTATGCTGGCAATCCTCTGATTCATGTCTAAAATCCAGATATGAGAGAGTACATACCATGTTTCTCTTTTTGTGACTGGGTTACCTCACTCAGGATGGTTTCTTCCAGTGACATCCATTTGCCTGCAAATTTCAAGATTCCATTGTTTTCTTCCACTGAATAGTACTCCATTGTGTGAATATACCACATTTTCTCTATCCACTCTTCAGTTGATGGACATCTAGGTTGCTTCCAGGTTCTGGCTATTACAAATAATGCTGCTATGAACATAGTGGAACAGACATCCTTGTTGTATGAATGGGCATCTTTTGGGTATATTCCTAAGAGTGTAATTGCTGAATCTTGTGGTAGACTGATTCCCATTTTCCTGTGGAATCACCATAGTGATTTCCAAAGTGGCTGTACGAGTTAGCACTCCCATCAGCAGTAGAAGTGTTCCCCTTTCTCCACATCCCTTCTAGCATAAACTGTCATTGGTGTTTTTGATTTTAGTCATTCTGACAGGAGTAAGATGGTATCTCAGAGTTGTTTTGATTTGCATTTCCCAGATGGCTAGGCATGTTGAGTACTTTCCTAAGTGTCTCTCAGCCATTTTAGGTATAACTTTCTTATTGTTAGAATTATAGACAGGGTTGATGACTAAGCTTTGATCAAACATGGTTGACAAACTGATTTTAATGCTCCTAACACACTTTTCTCTTATGTGTCCAGCATTTATAACATATTTAAATTAACATCATATTAGCAAAATTGAAGAACTAACTTTAAAATAAATGAAACTTCAGGCTTCATGAATTCTTAGTATAATATTTTAAGACAAGTTACACCATGTTTCACCAGTCCGTGTGTTTTCCAGCACCCTAAACTGGGGTGACCATCAACTTTTTCCATATTAATTGATTTACTCAGCAATGGTTATAATTGGTGTTGGGGACGTCCTGTTTGTGTAAGTAGGAAGCAGTGATTCCTTTGGCACTGCTTCTGATTTTTAGCATGTTTTGCTCCTAAGTTGGTGTGTTGCTGGCCTGTGCCCTTTCTCTAAGTTCTTAGAGTCTACAGCTGGTACAGTTGCATGGCCCTGGGGGTCTGGCTGTCACTTGTTCATGAACAGATGTAAACAGTCCCGTGGACACTGTTTGCTCAGCATTATCTGTGTGGGCAATGCTTCAGGCCCAGCGTGTCCTGCACAGACAGACAGAGAGTAGACAGAGGTCTGTTGAGTGTTTGTAGCTTGTGGGAAGTGGTTCTGAGAGTCAGGGGCTAGAGTGTCTGTCTCTGCTGCCAGGGGTTTGCACTTGTGTTTTCAGGATGAGGGGTCTGCTAGAGGATGTGGGTGAGGATTGCATGGTACACTATAGGGGTGGTGATAGGCTCCTAACTGTTGCTGTAGGAAAAGTTCTACGTCCTGTCAACAGTTACGAATATACGAGGGCAAAGCTCAGGAGCTGCAAAGGAGTCCAAACACCATCAGGCTTTCATCCCTTCTAGATTATCTCAGCAGTTGGAGGTTGTTTCTCTGCTGTGGGCTAGGATAGTAAGAGAGCCTGCCCTTCAGAACTGCAGTAGGAGTAAATGAGACAAAGCTGGTAAGCCACGAGAAATAGCGCAGGTCCTCCTAACAAATGAGTTCTCTTCCCCTTATATAAGGGCCCGTGTCTAAGGTAGTTTTGGGTTGTACCTTGACATAAGAGAGTCGTTTATTTTGCTGTTTTCACTTTGCAACAGCTGCCAACTAATTCGGTGGAGATTTGTGTCTCTACAACTGTGTTGAACGTATCAGTGACAACCCATGGACAGGTGGGTGGGGAGTTAACCAATATGGCAGTAGTGAGAGGTGGCTTTTTCTGCCCTACTTCCACTTTGGAGAAGTATTGATGTTTGAAAAACTTCCCTGGTACTCTTTGTCTTTAACTCTCTTTCCAGAGAATTTATGAAGCCTTCAGAAAAGGGAACTTTTTCATCTTTAAAAAATATTCCCTATAAAGATGGAGGCAGGATTGGTTTGGATGAAGGCCTGGGACAAAGATGTTCTGAATATATATATATATATATATACATATATATATATAATCTGTTCCACTGTAACTGCACAGACCTATATCTGTTGTTGATATAGGGCTTATCTGGTTCTCCCATTTTAATTTATGAGTGTAGACCTGCAGCCCTGGCTGTATGGTGTTGCTGGAGGTTTCTTATACAGGTGGTCTGTCTAGAAAAAGAGAAATCAAACCAATGAGTCCTGGAGAGGTGGGGTGATAAGACAACCAGATCCAGGATGGGGAAGGGAATAGAGCAGCTTAGGAAAGAATGAGTTGGGGGACATGGGACACAGGTCTTAAACTTGGGAGAGAGGTCAAGAGTAGCAGGTTCAAGTAGTAACTTGAAAGGTCCCTGAAAGGCTTATTTCATTTGAGGCAATCAAGGGTTCACTTAAATTCAACAAAGCTAAGACATTATAGTCACTCTGCACCTAACAGACACAAGCAAAAGATGTCATCCTAGGAGGTCAGGTAAGAAGAAAGGAAGTTCAGGTGAGCGAGGAAGAGAGTTCATTTGAGACTAAGGCGCAGTCTGATAAACAAAAGAAAGCAGGAAGAGGGTACTATCAAAGCAAGGGACAATGACCTCGATGAACACTGGCTCATGCTGTGCACCAGACACTGATTGGCACTGATCTTAGTGATACCCTCTAGAGAAGGTGCTGCTCTCTCTACTTTCCAAGTGACAAAACAAGGCACACATGGCTTGTAGCGCTTGCCCAAGGTCCACTGTGAGTGATGTCAGAGTCCACACTGAGACCCTGAACCCGGAATTCATGCTCTCTAGCACCCTGCTTTGCCGCCAAAATGTGAATCAGTCCTTAGGAAATGCACGGAGAAACCGAGGCTGTAGCATGGTAACTAATGGACATCAGGTGTCCTGGCCTGGGAAGCCAAATGGTGTGCCTGGGTAAATGCTTTCTTGCCGGAGACTGAGAGAACAATATTGGATCTTATACCAGAGAGAACAGGCAAGACTGACAGAGCATTCTTCCTAGACACCGGCTCCTGAAGTTGTGCGAGGCTTCTGAGCAGCCTGGTTGATGGTAGTTTGTACTTTCAGGGCTGGCATCCTCAGACAGATCTCCCCGGAAACATGTTTCCAGGACCCAGCTCTCTCTGTCCTCAAGGGAACTTTGTCTGTGAGGGCTAATCCCACAGTAAGCATTTCCTTTGCCAAGCTTGGCTCTCTCTATATTTACTAGAAGATGAAGCCTGTTAAAGCAGAGAAATAGTTTCTACACACTGGATCATTTGTCTTTAAGGCCATTTTCCACGACTTCTACTAAAGGAAAAGAGGGGTAAAATTCTTAAATTCTGGGCAAACCATTTTGCCATTTTCTGGGGACATTGATTATAGCTTATCTAACTTCATAACAGATCTATCTTATCTGCAAGAGACAATGTAGCATGAAAATGGGAAGGGATGCTGGGGGCTTGGGAAGAAGCATCATTCTATTTTTAGGTAATATTATGCATTACGGTGCAATTTTCCTCAAATACCTTAGGCTGACTGGGCAGAAGCTCTTACCAAGAAGACCAATGTTGTCACAGGTCCCAAGGAGTAAAGAAATAGCTCTCTGTGTTTAACTAGCTACACCTAACTATGAAAAAGGCCAACAAATCAAGAATTAGAACCCTTTAGTTGATATCTAAAAACTATGTAATTTTGCTTTTGTGGACATTTACTATTCTAATTTTAACTCTTAATATTAGATTTCAGTGAGAGGAATAGGACAACATCATCACCAATGTCTTTTAATAGCAGTTTGGTGCCATGTTATCTTCCTGACCTTGGTTTCTTGTCTTTAGTGTCCTTATAGATTCACTGACCTCTAGATTGATTGTGATTATTCATTGGTATTTCTTTGTGGTCCTGACAATTATTCTAAATGTAGTTTGAGTCTATGGGATGAGAGAGTTTAAGATCAGAGTTGCTATTTCCTCCTGCTAAAGTACACCTATAACTGGAAAGGGCCCCCTTTATCTCTCAGAAAATTCCATTTTCCTGAAAGTTTATTTTGTCTGCTGTTAACAGAGGCACTTAAACTTTCATTGCAGTTGCTAATTTAGTTCAGCTTGCACATCTTTCCCCGTCCTTTTAACCTTGGGTGAACTAAGGGAAGACTTCTTTTTATTCTGCTGATCTAAGACTCATTGAGTAAACCTGAGTCTGCGGATCCGTGTCTTTCACCAGCTTAAAACCCTCAGTCATCGTCTCAGGGAGTCTCTCTCTCTCTTCCTTCTCAGCTGACTTGCCCGTCCCACCCCCACAACCAATCACAAACAGTTTCTTAAATCACTTTACAAGTCAGTATTTATCAAAGTCTACAGTTAATCAGCTTTCTAAACCTTCTCTCAAACAATATAAAAATAAAATGCCTTTGTCATCTATGACTTATGTACTATTTGTTTCTACTTTTTCTTGCAGGTTTGTCCAGTCCACAGTCTTGGTGCCACATGTATCCAGGGGTAGCTGTGAATGCCGCCAAATACAAAAACGTAGACTTGCTCAAAACCTGAGGATATCACTGGTGATTTTTTTGTTGTCATTGTAGCTTCACTGCTTAGTTCTTCAGTGTGAACTTTGCACAGGACAACAGTTGTGTTGCAGTATCAAAGGTTGCATAGGCACTCTAGAGCGTTGGACTGAATTCTGGATGCTTTGACTCCACTCTGCTGTTGGCACTTGGGTACTCCCATGTCCAAGCATTGGCAGCTTTAACCGCAGAACTGAGCATTCCCTGGGAATTGTCCTCTGATGAAAAGAATGGCTTCACCCATCTCTCAGCTTGGTCTGCATGTGTGTGAATGTGAGGAGATAAAGGTTCCCTACAAAACAAAACAAAACAGAATAAAACAAAAATTCTTTTCCTTAAAGATGGACTAACTGTGGTGCCTAGCATTCCAGAGTTCTTTGTGAGGTAGATGATGCCTTTGACTGCACACTCTCACATTCTCTCAACTTCTTTTTCTGACAACCAGCTTCCTGTGCTTCTCAGGAAGGAGCCTTCCAGAGCATTCTTCCAAACACCTGCTATATGCACACATAGATCGAGGATCTACAGCCAATAACCATTTAGACATAACTATGTGTTTGTCATTTTCTTTGCTAGCAATTTCTTTTGTATCTGGGATCATCTTCCTTCTGCTTGGACTATATCTCCCAGAATTTCTTTGTGATAGAATGTATTAGATAAAAGTCTTAACTTTCCTTTCATATGAAAGACAACTTTAATAAATATGCAATTATAGGCTGACAATTGTTTTCTTGTAGCTCACTGAAGATATTATTCTATTATTCTAGTATAATCTAATTGCCATTGTTTGCATTGTACACTTAACTGTCAAATGAATTATCATCCCTTTGAAATCTAAAGTCTTTCTTTGGTTACTTTTTATATATAAGAAATATATAACATATATTCTAATATGTTAATGTTGCCTATCAAATGTTTAATTTCAATTGTTTTACTGTAAAGAAAGCATTATGTGCTTAAAAATCTGACTGACAGTGGGTAGTGGTGATACATGCCTTTAATCCTAGCACTCAGGGGGCAGAGGCAGGCGGATCTCTTTGAGTTCAAGGTCTGGTCTACAAAGCTACACAGAAAAACACTGTCTTGAAAGACACAACAAAACAAAAAGTCTGACTATTGTATGTGTACATTGATGTGCAGGTGCCTGTGCACATGTGTTCATGTCTTTGTCAAGATCAAAGGGCAACCTCAACCTCAGGTAATTCCTAGGAGCTGTCTAGCTTCTTCTTCTTCTTCTTCTTCTTCTTCTTCTTCTTCTTCTTCTTCTTCTTCTTCTTCTTCTTCTTCTTCTTCTTCTTCTTCTTCTTCTTCTTCTTCTTCTGAGGCAGTCTCTTACTGGGACCCAGTAGACAAAGCTAGTTGGCCACCAGCCCCTGGGGTCTTCTCTTCCTGCCTCCACTACTGGGATAACAAATGTATGCTATCATGTCTGGGTTTCTTTGTGGATGTTAGGTCCCTAACTCAACTTCTCATGCCAACTGAACCATCTCCCCAGTCACTTGTGGCTGCTGCTGCTGTTGCTTATCTGTTTTTTTTTTTGAACAGGGCTTCTTTGTGTCACCTTGGCTATCTTGGCACTAGCTCTTGTAGATGCAATTGGCCTTGGATTCACAGCAATCTGCTGCCTCTGTCTCCAAAGTGCTGGGATTAAAGGTGTGCACCACTTTAATTCAGCATCTAAAATGCATTTTAAGACATACTAAGTGTATTTGTCTTATATTTGGTGTCTGACAATTTAATACACGAACTTGAAATTACTTTGGGTCTGTTCTGCTGGCTTTTGCTACTGAGAACCTGGTAAAAATTTATTTGTATGTGTGTTTTTTTCTTTTCTTTTCTTTCTGTTGGACACACAGTTCTTGGAACTTTATCCTGGAGGCTTGTGTCTGGGTTGACAGTGTTCCTCTAGAGAAATGTGTGCTTATGTCTGCCAGTGTCTTGGGCACTGGCTGCCTCTCAGGACATGCTAATTCAGTTCCAGGTGTGAAGTGCTTTTGCACCACCCAGGTTGCCAAGTTTCAAAACAGACACTAAACCCCAGGTTCGGGCTTTCTTCCCACATCACCCTGCTCTAGTCCTTCCAGGTCCTGAAAAACAAAGCTCAGGTTCACCAGTCTTGTCAAACACTTGAACACGGTGGTGGCACTGGATACATGCTGAACTCTAGCTTCTGTTTACCTCTCCAATGTCTGACTCTCACTTAGCCTCTGGCCTCTTGCCAATTCATTCGTGACTTGGAACAATGTATCATATTTTGTTAAAGCTTCTCCTATTCCCTGACTCTACTCAGGGTAGATGGTCGATCAGATGTTGGAGATAAAAGTATTTTGACCTCAGTTTTCAATATTGCAGGGAGTAAATTATTTAACTCAAAAGGAGTATTTCTTCCACAAATAGTCTAGATTGTTCTCTGGATACTGGAGGAAGAAAGTGTCTCCCAGATGGTTGGAACCCAAAGCTGTTCCTAGGCTGGCATTTTTCTCTTCCCTTGAAGGTAGGGTGTAAACGGTGAGGAAGACCCTGACTACATAAGTCCTTCTGTGTTGATTCTCTGCCTCATGTATGGCCTTTCTGGATAAAGGGCGAAGCAATTCTTTCTTCCTCAAGAGAGATGGTTGCTTGGATTCTTTAAGAAGTTTCTAGAGAAAAGGCCACAATAGCTGATTGGGAAGGGAGAGGCTTGATGTAAACATGAGTCTCTTTCTGGAGGTCAGCCCATAGCACTTCCTCAGAGGCCTGAGTGGGACTCAGATTTACCTTAAGGTGGTGAACCCAAAGCAGTAGATCTCAGAAAAAGAACAATTCTGCTGTCACTCCACAGCCTATACCAGTTGTCTATCATTTGATATAAATGGGAATTAATTTTATAAGGGGAGAGATGGAAGGCTAGTCTTCAGTGTTGGGGGCATAAGGATACAGGCCATTTTTATGATAGAGCAATGTAAATGCACGAACGTCAAGTTTGGTTAGACTCTTTGGTTCCTTTTCTTAAGAGGTTTCATGAGCCAGGCAGTGGTGACGCACACTTTTAATCCCAGCACTTGGGAGGCAGAGGCAGGTGGATCTCTGTGAGTTCGAGGCCAGTCTAGTCTACAAAGAGACTTCCAGGACAGCCAGAGCTGCACAGAGAAACCCTGTCTCGAAAAGCAACAACAACGAAGAGATTTAAGGACAGTGCCTATTTTCTTTGCTAGATCCGTAAAGGACACTTTGAAGTGTGATGCCAACTACCTGAGAAGCTGACAAAAACACTCAGAAGTGTCCTATACTCAGGAGAGTTGGAGCTGCACCCTCCCACTTGGTACTTGTCAAATTTACTTCCTCCAAGAAGTCAGAGTTGCTGGAGAAGGTGCAGATTCCCTGCCTCCACAGCAGAACACCATCGTTCCTTCCCTGTGTAGTGACTGCATGCTAAAGTTTGAACTACCCCAGGAGGAAGCTTAGGTCCAAGCATTAGAAGTGGCTATTTGAGCATCAGAGATCTTTGACTAATTTTTAATGCAAAAATTTTTTCACTAATGTAAGCTTCATTGTGCTCTTTTCATTCTCTGGCACTCAATCTTGGGTCTATTAGAATCTGCCTGGCCATTTTATTTGAACTAACAGGGTTGGGATGTAGCTTAGAAACTGTAGAGAGAGATCTTAGGTACCTGTGCTACAGACCACGCCCACTTTGGGCGTGGCTACAGGTGAATAGGAACGTGGGGGAATAAAAGGCTGTGCAGGGGAGACGAACACACGCTCTCTCTTGGGGTTCTGAAGAGCAGCGAGTGGACCTTTGGTTCTCGGCTTCTCATGTAAGTGACTTATTTCTAAATAAATATTATATGACAACCTACCCTGTGTAGCTTAATATTCACCAATAAGAAACAAACTAGTAAAATTATTAGAAATCTCATATTTCCATAAAATTTCTCTTTCAAAGTGCTTTCAAAAGTAAAGTCATGTCCGACACAGAAGCACATAGCTCTATTCCCCACACTCAGGAAGTAGAGGCAAGAGAACTATAAATCCCAGGTCAGCCTAGATGTATAGAACCTAGCAAAACCCTGTCTCAGATAAACCGAAGGCTGAGGATGTGGCCCAGTGGCAGAGTGCTTATCTATCATGAATAACATCCTCAACTTGATTAAGAGATCCATGGGTCCACAGACCCATCAACCCACCAATCAATCCATCCATCCATCCATCCATCCACCCATCCATCCATGAAATAAAAGACACAAAAATTCATTCATTGATCTTTCCATGCCAATCTGCAAAGGTAAGCAGAATATATATTTATATTCCTGTTGTGGGATATTTGTACACTGTGCAAAGATGTGTCTCTGTGATTGGTGCAATGAGGAGCTGAATGGCCAATAGCTAGGCAGGAGGAGCAGGGAGACACAAGGAGACTTGGAGCAAGACAGATGTGCCATACTGAGGAAAGGGATATAGATTTAAAAATATGGGTTAATGTAAATTGTAAGAGCTAGTTAGAAACAAGCGTAAGCCTAAGGCCAAGGTCAAGCTTTCATAATTAACAATGAGTCTCTGTGTCATTTGTGGGCTGGAAGTCCAAGAAAGTCTGACAAGATGGTATCCAATGTGTGGCGTATAAATCCACATAAGGCTTGAGAAAGCTGAAAAACAAGTTCCAAGTGGGCTCTGTGCTGCACAGGTGTAGCTCTATTATGGATCCTATAATGATGAATTTAAAGTTTTATACATAAATACTTTTTATCATAACTTTTATTACCATCCTAAAATATCAATTTAGACCTTAAAACATCTTTTTAGGTAAACAACTTAAGCACACCCAACATTGCAAAGGAACTTTGAGTGACTGTCCAGGAAGTCAGCTGTTTCTGTCATTTCTACAGTTTTGGAATTTATTTTCTCTGCACTCTCTGTTTATTCAGGTAATATTATATCCTTCTCAGGTCTTTGGTGGGGTTGAAGAGTAGACAGTTATAGCTCTACAGTTTTCCTTGTTATCAAATTCAAAAGAGAAACTTACATATGAGATGTGATTATATGAGGTTGAAAAACATAAAAGCTCAAGTTGTTCATCTAAAAAGATGTTTTAATGTCTAAAAATGATTTAGGTATAAAACTTTAAATTCATCATTAGAGGATCTATAATAGAGTATTTTCTCCAAATATGCCAAATGCAAATGACCTGGACTTTGTGAATGTAATTCTTACAAGACAATTGTTCTTATGCATATAGTTTTACTGTATTAGAGTTATAAGTTTTCCTTCTTACTGAGACAAGAAGGGGGAGATGTGAGACACTTGTGCACTGTGTGAAGATGTGTCACTGTGCTTGTGTCACTAGCTGAATGGCCAATAGCC